GGGGGCGGAGCCCAGGGGAGGGGGCGGAGCCCAGGGGAGGGGCCGAGTCTAAGGGTGCAAACCTAGGGATGGGGGCCCAGCCCGGGGGGGAGGAGCCCAGGGGAGGGGGCGGAGCCCAGAGGGGAGGTACGTGGAGGGGCGGAGCCCAAGGGAGGGGGCGGAGGCCAAGGGAGAGGGACTGGGGCGAGCCCAGAGCCCAGAAGGGCAGGGAGATGCCAGGCTCCCAGAGTCAGAGACGTCCCGCCTGCCGCCCGCCCTCTGGCCCAGGTTGGTGCCGGCTCTAAGGACGGGAGGAGGGGAGGATTAGGTGACCTTGCCCCTCTCCTGAGTGACACGCGCCCTGGAACGTCCTCAGGTCCCGCCTGTGAGAGCAGAGACCCGACCACCCCCTCATAATCCAGCCACGTTGCACACCCGGCAGAGGTCCTGTCAAACAAAATGCCTGGTCGGCGTGCCAAGGACACACCACACTTTGAGGAAGCCAGTGACTCTGGGGAGGCCAGTTCTTGTACTTTTCCAAACCAACCACTTTCCTGAAAAAACTGAGGCTGAAACAGACCGGCCAGGAGCAGGTCTGCCAGCCCAAGCCCAGGGTCAGCCCTCCGCCAGGGGGGCAGCCCCAGCCACGCCCACGACTACGCACAAGCGGCCCCTGGGGGTCGGGTGGCCGAGGCCTGGGGGACACAGGCCTGCCCCTTGTCCGCACTGCCGGTGCTCAGCCCACCCTTGTTGAGAGCAGAACGGCGCAGCAAGGTCCGGCTGACTTAAGCTCCTGGGCAGTTACTGCTTCGAGAAGAAAGGCCCTGCTGGGAGGAGGGCAGGGTGCCAGCAGTCACTGTGGGGCAGACCAGTCCTGGCTACCCTGGGGCTGGGGTCAGGTGATGGGCGACCAGGCCCTGCCATCAGAAGCAGCCGGCAGGCCGCCACCTGCCTTGTCTTACTGCAAAGCACACTGAGGTCCCAGGGGCCCGTCTTCCAGGTCTTGGGGGCCGAGGGTCTCCTGGAGGTCAGGCTCACCTCTCTCATCCCCTGAAGGGAATGGTGCTGGACCGGCGCTCAGGAGGATGAGCAAGGATGACAGCAGCTCCTGGAAGAGCCGCACCACACCCGCTGCCCCCAGCCCCGCAGCCGCCGGGCCCAGCCCAGGCCATGGACGGGGGCATCAGAACGCCAACCCCAGGCCCCTGCTCTGCCTAACAACACCCGGGTCAGCGGGAGGCCGGGGCCTCTGCGTCCTGTGTCACCAGGATCCTCTGCGTGGGAAAACCCTTGGAAATCCAGGAGGAAGGATCCGTATGGGGCCACGGTAAGCAGAGGCGACCGGGGGAGCCTCCTCTTGTCAACAAGCAGCTGACCCCCACAGCCACCCGCCAGGTGAGACCATCTGTCTGCCTGGGTGGGGCCTTCCTGCGGGCGCTTTCCCTCTGCCTACTTCTGGGGGGACAGGCCCGGCATGTCCCTCCCCCGCCAGGATTGGGTGGAGGGGTGCGGGGTACACTTTGTTTCCAGGCACATTTTAATGGAGGCAGCGTGACCAAGGTCCCACAGAAACGGGGGTGCAGGGCCGTGTCAGGGCCCAGCTCCCTGCTGACAGTGTCCTAGAAAACCCCTTCTGTTTTCAAGGAGACCTGGCAGGAAGCACGGACACTGGCCCGGAGCCCAGACCACCTCGTGTACCCCCGTGCTCACCTCACCCCCACCCCACAGAGCCTGCCAGCCCTCTGCCTCTTCCCGGGGCTGAAGGAGAGAGGCTCCGGCCGGCCCTCTGCTTGGCGACTTGCTGCCAGAGTCCTTCTGTAGACGTGCTCACTGCCAGCCCCCAGCACCCACGCACAAACCTCCAGGACCACCCAGCCTCCTGATCTGCAGGCACCCCACACCCCGCGTTTCCCTCTAGACGCTTCTGGGGCAACAAGAGACAGGAACTCTGCCTAGAACCTGGATACCAGTCCTGCAGGACGGCCCTTTCAGAGTCTAGCCCTTGGGAGCAGGCTCAGAAAACCTGCATTTCAGGCCACCCCTGGATGGAGGGTGGGGGCCGGGGTACAGGGGGCCTAGCAGAGGCCGTGCTGAGAGGAGATGGGAGGAAGTGGAGGGCGAGGGCCGGGGCTCTTCCTGAAGGAAGGATGGGCAGGCAGCGCACAGACTGCTGTGCGCGGAGCTGGCCCGACCTGGTCCTCACAGCAGAGCCAGACCAACCCGGTCCCCACAGCAGGCCCGGCCCGACCCGGTCTCCACAGCGAGCCGGCCCGACCCGCCTCTACAGCAGGCCCGGGGCGGTCCCGAGGCTTCAGCTCTGGACCCAGCTAGTCGCGGCGCAGGCAACAGCCATCGGCCAGGTCCAGGCCGGGACGCAGGAAGGGGCGCCTCTCGCACTCTGACATGCTCACCTGCGGAGATGGGAGTCCGGGTCCAGGCAGGGCTCACGGGTCCGGGTCGGGGTCCGGGTGGGGGTCAGGGTCCGGATCCGGGTCAGGGTTCGGGTTCGGGTCTGGGTCCGGGTCGGGGTCCGGGTGGGGGTCAGGGTCCGGGTCCGGGTCGGGGTCCGGGTCAGTATCCGAGTCGGGGTCCGGGTCCGGGTCTGGATCTGGGTCCGGGTCGGGGGGCTGAGGGTCGGGGCGGGAGTCCAGGTCCGGATTCTGGCGACAGTGTGAACTTGGCCGCCGCTGGGCTGCGGTCCGGGTGGAACCCGCGGAGGCGGCGGTTGGGGGCGACCCCGGGGGAGGGGCCGGCGCCCCCCGCTCCGCCCGCCTTCTCCTCCGCCGGCCCCGCCGGCCCCGCCCTCGCCGGCCCACTCCGCCCAACTTCCTGAGGTTGCCCAGTCCAGGGCTCGCACCGTCGCGGTTGCTGCCCTTTCCCAGGGTTGCAGCTGCGCGGGGTCGCCAGGTCCTTGGTGCCCCTCTGCGGGGGTCTCACGGGCCCAGGTCCACTGGGGGACGCAGTGGAACGGTCCCGCCTGCCCTCGGCTGGTACTGGAGGCGCGGCGGAGAGCGCGGAGCCGCGCGGAGGAGATGCGGGGAGCCTGGCTCCCTCGGGGGACGCGCGAGGCCGGGTGCCGCCCGCCGGCCGATGCGCGTGGCTCCGTGCTCTGGGCACCGCGCTGGGGCCCGCAGGAAGGAGGCGGGGGTCGTGATCCGGAGAGAAGCAGGTGAGGGCTCTGCGAGTGCGCACCCGGAACCCCAACGTCACCAGGTCCAAGCCTCGCTTCTCTGAACAGCTTCTAGAGTCGGCTTCTAGTATTTCAGTTACTTACTCTCATGAGTCCCCCAGTTAGAGTGTAAGCTCCACCAGGGGAAGTAGTTCTGTTTGCTGTTGAAACCGGAACACCGGGAGAAGTGGCTGGCACCTCGTGGTTGTTCAGCCTCAGGGCCACATGCAAGCCAACCGCTGGGGTGAAGATTTGGGCTTCCCGGGGTGTCTGCCAGTGCTGGGTTCAGACCCGGGTTATGTATGCTACAGATTCATTTGCTGCTGCTGCTGCAAAGTCACTTCACTCGTGTCCGACTCTGTGCGACCCCATAGACGGCAGCCCACCAGGCTCCCCCGTCCCTGGGATTCTCCAGGCAAGAATACTGGAGTGGGTTGCCATTTCCTTCTCCAATGCATTAAAGTGAAAAGGGAAAGTGAGGTTGCTTAGTCATGTCTGACTCTTCTAGATCCCATGAACTGCAGCCTGCCAGGCTCCTCTGTCCATAGGATTTTCCAGGCAAGAGTACTGGAGTGGGTTGCCATTGCCTTCATTTGCAGTGTGATTTTTTTTTTTTAGGCTTTTGTCTAGTCTTCAACAGTATGTGAATGGAGAACTTCCAGATGTTCAAGCTGGATTTAGAAAAGGCAGAGGAACCAGAGATCAAATTGCCAACATCCATTGAATCACAGTAAGAGAATTCAAGAAAAACATCTATTCTTGCTTCATTGACTACACTAAAGCCTCTGTGTGGATCACAACAAACTGGAAAATTCTTAAAGAGATGGGAATACCAGACCACCTGACCTGCCTCCTGAGAAACCTGTATGCAGGTCAAGAAGCAACAGTTAGAACTGGACATGAAACAACAGACTG